CATCTATCCCATCATGGTGACAGTGTGAACGGCACAAATCCCATATTTTCAAATCTGATCTGGGTCACTTTCGTATGTGGTGCTGAATCCGACACATATCTGATGTTTTAGAAAGCGACTGCTGTTTGATGGTCAGGTCGCATTAAATCCGTCTTTTACGTCACTGACACAAGACAGACGCCAATTATCAGCGCCGGAGAAGACATCACGAACGCTTCCTGGCCATCCAGTGAAACTGTTGGGAAGACAACGTGAATATTTTCTTTGTCCTGTATAATCTGCAGATTCTGACAGGAACTATTCTTTGAAGCAGCGCTCCTCTAAAACAGCAACAAGGATGATTATTAGGTTATTTACATTATTATGTCAATAACAAATTAACTTAAAGCACAAATTGGGAAACATAAAGTCCGAAGTCTTTATATTAAGGCCATCAGTCACACATACTGTTGCTCTGGGTCTAAACAGAGCGCGTTGTGTGTGACGTCTTCTTTTGCACATGCGCCGCTTTGAGCGTTCACACTAGAGCGCGTTTGCTGTCGCATTTTATTTGTAGTGTGAACGAGCAGACAAAAACATCGGATTTGATCAAAAAATCTGAATTGAGCATCAAGACCTGCAGAGTGAACGCAGCCTCGCTGTTCCTGCAGATGGAGCCTGTCGAGGTGGTTCAGCCCCCTGAGATACCTCCTAGGTGAGGTGGTCAAACAGCGTTATAGAAAGAAGTAGTGAGGAAAGGTGTTCTAATGTAGTGAGTCAAAACGAGGTCATGTTGGAAGCAAAACTAAATGTCATGACTCTGTGTGTTCAATTTATTTCGCTCATGTGAATGATCTCCAGTCCAAAGTTCATGTGAGTGAGGTAACGATAAACACTGCTGAAGTAAAGCAGCATTAACTGAATGAAGCATGAAGTATAACGTGTTCGATTTAATGTGTGATGGAATCGATGATAAATAAGGTTAAAGTAAAATGGTTCTAATATAGAGCTTTGCTATTTTATTTGGAAACCTAAAGCACTTGATACAACTTCTGTCAGTCACCCATTCACACAGAAAGAAAACACATTGGAAAAACAAATCATTCACACACATTCATACTGTGATGGATGCATCAGAGAGCAACTTGGGATCAACAGCCAGGTATCGAACCACCAACCTTCGGGCCTGCCCTAGCTTAGGAGCTACAACGTAGAATAGAAGAAAATGTAATGAAGTCCTTTTAAAGTTTCCATTTTGTTTTAAACCACGGTGAAGTATGGTGACGGGGGGGGGCTGACGATCAGCTGATTCAATGTCACAACGGGGGAGGCCAGACGCCATCTCAGACGCTGTGACGCCCAGGAAGAGCAGGAAGAAAACTGAGAACAAAGTGAGATGCTGCTTTCCTGGTAGACGATTATTATCAACGTGACACAGAGTCCACTCAGCCCTCGATGTGCCCGTTTTCTCCGCCTTAGCTCACAGTAGGTAAATTAGATAATTCACGTATTTGACTCTGTTCATCTGGATGTTTTCAGTGGGAGAAACGTTTCATTCGTAAAACCTGTAAAAACCAGTAAAAACCTGCATATTATTATAATATCACTCAAAGGGTTCTTATAGGTCACTACTCTTAGAAATGAACAGATCCTTGGGGCCTAATTTTCAGAGCCGCTACATTTAACCCAGTCAGTTACCAAGTGCACAGATTTCGAGGAGAGCTGCTTACAGAAGGCTGAATTCAAAGACACCTTCAAAATCAATGTGGTGGAAGGTTCGTCCAACTCTGCCCCCTTATGTTCTTGTAGGCATGCCTGAATGTCAGGGCATGCTCCTAATGAGATGTCCTGTGGATCTCCTCCTAGATGTGGACCAGGACATCACTGAGTTCCTGCACGTGGTGTCGTACTCTCACCACTGAGGCCGAGACCTGTTGTGCACCAGGAGGAACCCAGAAGCACTGCACCAGCATAGGGTCTAACAATGGGTCCAAGGATTTCATCTTCATACCGAATGACAGTCAGGCTGCTGTTGTACAGCCTGTAGGGGTCTAACAGTGGGGTACATCACAATAGCTAGAATCACCTGAACCTGTTAGAGACCATAGAGAATATGGAAAACACTGCGGTGCTTTTTCTACCTGTGGTTAAGGGATCTCAAGATTTTGAGGGTATTTCCACGGCACTACATACATGTACGGAGAGTTACACAGTTGTTGTCCTTTTGCCTCTGTACACAACCAAATTATAAATCAAATCAAAATATCACGTAAGTGTAGACTTTCAGCTTCAATTTAAAGGCTTGGTTTATGTAAAGGTTTAATATTAATGGGTAATATAAATATTTTGTAATTACAGCAATTTTTATCTATGGTCGCCCACTTTCAAAGCTTCAAAAGTAAATGGACACTGCACTTCCTGTTTATACCTCATCTCTGTCTGACCAACCTAGCCAAATTATAAGAGCCAATCACAGCAGAGGATCCCTCCAGCAGGTAAGCTGTCACTCATGAAGGGTCTGATCAACTCTGTACAATGATGTGTGGCAGCTAGCTTAAACGCTTTAACAATGGGCATGGCTGTTAAAGCCACAGGAAATCTCATGATGCTTCTAAAACATGTGCTGTTGCTAGCTGCCCACATGGAAAAGATCTATAAATCTTATAAAGTTTGTATCTGTCTTGTGTGAAACTTGTATGAAAAGCATATAAGAGTGAAAACAGATATAAGATCCCTTGAAAAATGATATAAATGAAAGTTGTATGTTTTGGATACTTCCTAAAACAATATATGAAAGTGATGAGAAAGTGGCCACTTTCATGAGTAAATCATATAAGCCTGATATGATTTACTCATGAAGTAGGCCACATCTGATGCAAGTCTTTTAGAAGTTTTTTCTATTTCTTTTCCATATGGGTAGGGTTGCCTTTTCAGATAAAAACCGACTCAGTGACTCACAAAGTTCTTGCTCTCCCCTCACACGTCTACGGTGGTATGCAAAAGTTTGGGCACCCCTGATAATTTTCATGATTTTTCTTCAATAATCATTGGCTGTTTGGATCAGCAATTTCATGTAAATATATCATATAGCAGACGAACACAATGACATTTAAGAAGTGAAATGAAGTTTATAGGATTTACAGAAAGTGTGCAATATTACTGAAACTAAATTAGGCAGGTGCATAAATTTGGTCATGAAGCTCATCGAGAGGGCCGAGGGTTTGCAAAGCAAAGCGTGGCTACCTGCAGCAATCTAAGAGCCCTCGATGGGCTGTTAGCAGACGCTCATAAATGTTACGCCTGATCATTGTATGTGTGTCTGTGTATTTAAAGGAGATGATGCTTAGAGATTTAATTTACAGTGATATGATCCTCGATCACAGTGTGTTACCTTTATAAATGAAATCGACTGTACATTTGAAAACACTACAGAGAAAAAAAGAAAAAGGAGAAAAATACACAGCATTAACAGAAACAATGGTACCAAGCCATCAGTACTCAGCCTAAACTCACTGTTGTATTTGGGTTTTTTGCACTACATAAGAACATTTTAAATCTTTTGTAGACTTTGCTGTATTTTTTGCACATCAGAAAACTTAAAACTAATTTAGCTATCAAGGTTATTTTTTGTACTGTTTAAATCTTTGAAAAAATAAAATAAAATAAGCCTCTTAATCTATTTCCTCCATGGTATTTAAAATGGTGTTAAGTATTGTCTTTGTCATCTGTATCAGATTCTATCATCATAGCACCCTGTGAGGCCTGAGGCATCTGAAAGAAGAAAACAGAGTAAATCATGCTTTATCCAAGTACTGAAACAAACCTTATCATACTTATGCAAGTTTGTCCAATTACTTTTGAGCTTCAGGAGGTGCTACAGATAACGATGGCTGGTATTCCTGCAACAATGAATGCAGTACTTTTATTAAACCCTTGAAGTGAAGCTGAAAGTCTCCATTTCAGTCACATTTTGACGGCTTAATTAAAAATCGAGTGTGTTGGAGTGAAGCACTGTACCACACATAACAGGCACGTGACAGGACTGACGGTGGTAAAAGCCATGACCCTTTTTACCTGATGGACAGACAACAGTTCAGAGATCTGTGCTACTGTGTGTGTTACTAATGAACGCAGCTTGCTTGTAACCTCTCAGTGAGATTATTTACCTTGCAGGTTGATCAGAGCCTCGGGGTTCTGGTGAGACAGGCGGCTCAGACTTTGAAGCTGACAGTACCTGTGGGAGACTCCCCAGCTGCGCTGCCATCTGCACCACACAGCTGATCTCATCATTCAGTAACAGTAACATGTACACAGTTTCTTACAGTTCAGTGCACAGAATAAAGACCTCTGTGCCCTCAGGAACAGCAGACAGGGCAACCTCTGAAACAGTAAAGACGGCTGTACCTGATATCGGTCAGATTAAATCTGCGACACAGCTCCCTCTTCAGTCTCTTCAGTTCTTCTCTCCGAGGAAGACTCGCATTGTGTTTCTTTGAGGCTTCAGGTTCGTTGTTTCTCAACCACACGCTGGCAAAAAAGATCGTGTACAAGTCATTAAATATAATTGCTGTAGTTATGAAAATCTGTCATCACCATCTTTGCAAAACGTATTTGTGTTGTTATATATGTCACATTACTCTGACGTCTCCCTCTCTAGAACTGTGTGAACTATAAATAAAGTACTTTCACATTATTACATTTAAATACAGTGACCATGTATGCACACATTAGCTTTAGCATGCCCTATTGCTATTTACTGAATAGAAATAAAATCCACAGCAAACACAGCAGTGTGTCTCCGTGACTGATCACAAACAGCAGTGTTTGAGTTTAGAAGGTTTCAACACTTTCCTACAGTTGAGATGAGACAACCGCAACCAGAGAGCCGAGCCTACCTGAGCGTAGGCTCGGCTCTCTGGGCCTGCTGCAGCTCCTGCTCGGGGTCTTTGAAGCCAGTGAAGGTGTAATAGCTTTTATCCCATTTGATGGTTCTGTAGAAAGGCTCCCCCGTCTCAGTGGGACTTTTACTTGCTGCTTTACTCGCCGTTAGTCCCTTCATGTGCTCCACAGGCAGGCTGCAGCTCGTCAAAACATCCATCACTGTGCTCAAAACATCATTTGTGTGCAAAGTAAAACTTACGGAGCGGAAGCCTGAGAAGCAAACAGGAGCAATTTTATGTTAAAACCCCCCAAAAACCTGACTGGTACTTTGAGCATTTTAAAAGAAATGCACCTGAGCTGATGAGTTCTGGCTGCACCTTACTGCTGTACTTTGTGTTCCTTATATAAAAGGTGAGCTTCATGGGTTGAACTGAACGTGAGCCGGGCTTCTGCAAGTTTTCCAGATAGCCATTCAGCCTCTTTAGCGAGTTTTCATTCACCTCCTGTAACACAGAGGTACCAGAACTTACATCATGGCAGCTCATCCCAACAAACGTCTGACAGTGTTGTATGTGCACAGATTATTATCATTAAATATTATTTTATATCACATCACATTACTTTATATTGTATACGGATCCCAGAGCACATAGATGATAAGTATTCTGTACACTATGGATTGCCTCTTCTTTGTTGTGCCTACAAGGCGTCACACACATGTAAACCTGGCAGTAAGTTTTCGAACTGTTACTTTACGATCACATGTTTCCAATAACACATATTTGGATTTATGTCATGACAGATATGAGACCTACCCGTTCTTTGGGATATTTACCGAAGAAGTCTGGGTGGACTGCAAAATAAAAGGGCCTGAGAGCATTTACAGCCTCTGCCCCTGACAGCGCTCTCTGTTGCACAGCATGTGTGGCAAAATGCTTCCACTGCAGCCTGCAGAGAAAAGGACAGACATTACAGAAAAGAGACTATTTTACATCATTGAACCCTGCTCTCCAAAGCTGACATAGGCATAACTGCAGCTGCCTGCAACAATGGGCTTTTTGTTCAAACTGAGTATATACTGTCGTCCACTTTCACTGTGCACACAAGAAAAAACTCAGAGTTTTCTGCGATTGTTATTATCTGCCATGGCTGATTTCTTTTTCAAAGTGTCCAGAGTCAGGAGAGACTGAGAAATCCACAGCGTGACACGGCAGAGGTTTTCCACCCATAATGACACACAAATTCAGCAGTGTGTGAAGAAGAGGAGGAAGAGGAGCCAGCATCAGCTGGGAGATGAAGAATAGGACGAGAACAGACTGGGACTGGTGGGAACGTTTAAAACTATTTCTAGATACCTCTGCAAATACAGGAAACGAGTATCTCCAACACAAACTTTAACAGCTGCATACAGAGAGTCACACAAAGACTCACTGATGATTATCCTGCAGGACAGGATGTGATAGGGAAGGACGGAAAAATAAAGGGAACCACAGACAACTTTGATAATACTTTTGTTTTATCCAGAATATATTTGGTTAAGAATTGTTTTAATCAGAATAGAATAGAATAGAATAGAATAGACCTTTAATTGTCTCACAAGGGGAAATTTGGTTGTAACAGCAGCAATAAAAACACACAGAGTACTGTACCGTTATTGAATTAAATAAAAGTAAATATGAGCTGGTGGTGATTTGGATTAGGTGGCGAGGGAGGACACTGGACAGACCTCACACGCCCAAACGTACAGTGAGGGTGTGCTGGGAACGTTTAGCAGAGCCCCCGGTCTGCGAGATCTTCAACGCACACCTCCGGCAGAGCTTCAACGGCACTCCGAGGGAGACTGGGGGCATTTGTCCGAGTGGACCATGTTCAGTATCTCCATTGCCGAAGCTGCTGCACTGAGCTGCGGATGCAAGGTGGTTGGTGCCTGTCGTGGTGGTAATCCCCGAACCAAATGGTGGACACCAAAGGTGAAGGGAGCCACCAGGCTGAAGAAGGAGTCCTATCTGGCCTGGTTAGCCTGTGGGACTCCCGAGGCAGCTGACAGGTACCTGACAGGTACCGACAGGCCCAGTGGAATGCAGCCAAGTGTGAAGCGGTGGGAATGAGAATCAGCACCTCCAAATCTGAGGCCATGGTCCTCAGCCAGAAAATGGTGGAGTGCCCACTCCTGGTCAGGAACAAGTTCCTGCCTCGAGTGCAGGAGTTAAAGTATCTCAGGGTCTTGTTCACGAGTGACGGAAGAAGGGAGCGGGAGATCAACAGACGGATTGGTGCGGCTGCAGTGCACTGTACCAGTCTGTTGTGGTGAAGAGGGAGCTGAGTGTAAAAGCGAAGCTCTCAATTTACCGGTCGATCTACGCCCCTACCCCCACCTATGGCCACGAGCTGTGGGTAGTGACCGAAAGAACGAGATCGTTGATACAAGCGGCAGAAATGAGCTTCCTCCGAAGGCTGGCTGGCCTCTCCCTTAGAGATAGGGTGAGAAGTTCGGCCATCCGGGAGGGGCTCAGAGTAGAGCAGCTGCTGCTCCACATCGAAAGGAGCCAGCTGAGGTGGTTCGGGCATCTGACAAGGATGCCCCCTGGGCGCCTCCTGGGTGAGGTGTTCCAGGCATGTCCCACCGGGAGGAGGCCCCGGGGCAGACCCAGGACACGCTGGAGAGATTATATCTCTCGGCTGGCCTGGGAACGCCTTGGTGTTCCCCCGGATAAGCTGGAGGAGGGGGCTGGGGAGAGGGAGGGATGGGCCTCTTTGCTTAGGCTGCTGCCCCCGCGACCCGGCCTCGGATAAGCGGAAGAAAATGGATGGATACAGATAAGAGGCAAACCCATGTTATAGTGTGAATCAGTTGATAAAATAGTGAAAGTTACAGCATTGATGTAAACATCTATGTTTGTTGGGAGCAGTTCTGGTTGTACAGTCTGACAGCTGCAGGGAGGAAGGACCTGCGGAAACGCTCCTTCATGCATCGAGGATGCAGCAGTCTGTCACTGAAGCAGCTCTGCAGTTCAGCAACATCTACATGCATGAGCTGGGAGACTCTGTCCATCAGAGATGTTATTTTGGCCAGAGTCCTTCTGTCTCCCACCACCTGCACTGGGTCCAGGTGCATCCCAGAACAGAGCTGGCCTTCCTGATGTGGTTATCCAACCTCTTCCTCTCAGCTGCTGATAAACTGCTGCTCCAACATACCACACTGTAAAAAATGACAGATGCCTCCACAGAGTCATAGAAGGTCTTTAAAAGCGCTCCCTGTGCTCCAAATGACCTCAGCCGCCTCAGCAGGTAGCGTCTGCTCTGACCCTTCCTGTAAAGAGCATCAGTGTTGTGGCTCCAGTCCAGTTTATTATTCAGGTGAACACCCAGGTACCTATAAGAGTCCACTATCTCAATGTCCACTCCCTGGATGTTCACCGGTGTCAGTGTGGTGGGTCTGCGTCTCCGGAAATCCACCACCAACTCCTTGGTTTTCACGGCGTTGATCAGCAGGTGGTTCTGCTGACACCAGAGTCCACTGTCTGTACTCTGAGTCAAATCAAAGTGGGATTGTGTCAGTTTCAGTAAAAAACTATGCAGTCCCTTTAAATAAAAAGTCCAAAGACCTGTGAAAAGCTGTCCATTCATAAAGTTCAACTGTGTTTTATAAGGACGTCATGTGTCTCTATCATCTCTCTCCTGTTAGAGCCTCTTCACAAAACACCAGCCTGTTCAATGCTCTGATATCTTTAACATCTTAAGAAAATTATATTGCACAATTTTCCCAGCGTAACAGCCAATAGGTGGTCCACAACCCTTTTGAGGACAAATGTGGGACTGCCGACCATTAAACGGCTTCAAGGACACTTAAATAGTCCAGATGTTTTTCTTTCCAGGCTCCTTAGACCACAAACCTACACAAGGATCGCGTCTTTTTAGTTTATTTTTAGCTGTCACTCTGGGATACTGCCCTTAAATATAACTAACTAAAGTTTTCAGACAGTTTTAGTGGTCACAGTATATTAATATTTGTCTGTGAGACGGTCACACAGGTACTAAAGTAACATGACATAGAAATAAATACCTTGAATTTAGACTAAAATGTAATATTTGAGACACCTAAGTTAAAATCCACCAGTGTAAAACTTACTTACTGTTTGGCTAGCTGCACTGAGGCGGGAAAATCACCCTGTTAGCTGCAATATTTGAATGAGGACTGTGTGGAAAAGAGCCTTTTCGAATCACGGGACCAACAATCTGGACTCCAACACTACAATTTTTCCTTGACAGACCGGCTGCACCGAGGCACGCAATCAGCCAGCAAAGTACAGTGGGGCAAAAAAGTATTTAGTCAGCCACCGATTGTGCAAGTTCCCCCAC